TCCAGATTGTAAAGTTTCCCAGCCTAATGTGACCTTTATATCTGATATACTAGCAAATAGGTCGTAATTTTTGCAGACGAAACGAGCTGCCTGGTTTTGAATTTTTCTATTGTTTCTGCAAGATACTTTTGAGCTGGGCCCAGGCAACACAAGCATATTCAAGTATAAAACCTTACATGCAGGTAGTAGAGAAATTTCCTTTACCTTTTTTGTTGCACAGTGAAAGTTTCTGTGAATAAAATACAATGTTTTACTAGCCTTTAAAATCATGTGTTATATGTGCCTGTTCCAATGAAATGATTCTGTTAATAAATTCCTAAATATTTACACTCGGGTACTTCTTAACTGGCTTTTCATCAATGTAAGGTAATAACGTTCACACTTGTTGCTGCCTGCAGGACATCTGGAAATTATGTGAGCCCTGCAAGCTTGCAGAGCACTTCCAGCCTTTTCTGCAGTCCGGGTGCACCAGTAAGGCCTGCAAGCCAGGTGCAGGCTGCCAGGCAACCACCGAGGCCTGATAGCCCTACTACCAGCATAGGTATGAATGTGCAGGAGCTTCTGCAGGACATGGTTCAGTTTGAAGACCAGTGTTTAGAACTGTCGGAAGCTTCTGCACATTCAGATGATGATGCTTCCGGGCCATCAGGGGTTGTTTGCCCGTACGCCCAAGAGAGGACTGCACCAGAGCCTGCTGTCGCTGATGGAAGCGCCGAGTCAACACCAACCCAGCGAAGAAGTCGCAAAAGAAAGAATGAAGAAGAGTTAGATAGCATTACTCAAAATGTGCAAGACTTGTGCGAGACATTGAAGAAAACTGAGTCAAGAAACGAACATGAATATTTTGGGCTGTGCCTTGCTAAATACTTAGAGAAGATACCAGAAAAGCGACAGTTAGAGCTGAAAGTGAAGATCATGCAATTAGTAATGGAGTATGTGGACTAGTTTCTTTTTATTTCAATGGCTGAAGCGATTTTTTTTATTAAGGTACGGGGCCAAGTGCAAATGTCATTTTCACATTTTCTGTCATGTTAACTGAATCACTCATTATTTTGCTGCATGAACTTTCTCTTTAAACAGTTTTTTTGCAAAGATACAAGGAAAAATGTTACACTACCCAACAGTTGCGAAGAGAAAACTGAAAGTGCCAGTTTTGTGTGCATCATAAGATTAGCTTGATATGTGGTATTTTGTTTACTCTTTAATGGGGTTGTGAAAAGGTCACTTCACAACGACAATGCGGCGCCATCAGTAGCCACACGCTCTAACTATATCATCAGCCTGAGTGAGCCTGCATAGACGCTCTGACTATCTAGAAACGCAGAACTCTACGGCATCTGTGAGCGCGTGCAAGAGGCGCTCATCAGCGTCTGCCGTATGCAGTCCGCATTCCACAAGAATGCTGCTTAATATGACGTCAGCTACAGAGTTCAAGTTGGCGCCTGTTGCTTATGGCAAAGATGTGATAGGTGTCCGAATTGCATGCACTCGCAAGTACAGTAGTGTTTCGCATTCCTCGATAGGCAAAGCACTACTTATGCCGACGTCGCCTAGTTCGTGCGTGTGGATGTTGGTGGTTTCGCATCGCTGTTTTAGAGTGAGCGTTTTACGACTCTTTTAGTCTTCGTATTAAATGTGCAAATATGTAATAATGCTTTATTAGCATTGTCAACTGACATTTTTAGTCATAAAAACCATACACTTCTCACCAGGTTAATGCACAGCATTGTACATGCATCGTTTGCGCTCAAGGACACGTATGTCAGCCCGTTAACAATTACATTTGCTCTCTCATTTAAATAACGTCTACAGAAAGAAAAAAGGCAAATAGCAGCTTAAGCGTAACTAGTTACAGCGCTTCTGATCCCTTTGTGTAGGTTCTGCACCTGTTTCAAATGTTTTTGTTCACTTTCTTGAAACCTACATTTCTGGTATTTTTTCGTACGTAAACAGTCATAACGTTTTTGCTGATAAAATTTTTTGTTAAATTTTGGCACATTGATAATAACCTTAATAAGCAATATCGTGCCACAATATTTATAGCTGCCAGGCAACTAACGTGACTTTAGTGAGAGCATATAAGTTTTGGCTGTTTAATCACTATGCTTTTAATATTCATTTGAAGAGATTTATTTTGGTTCATTGCACAGGGCAAAGCTTCTTTTATGTGCCTAAAAAAATTAGAATTTGTAGAATGTGGAATTTGAGTGCACACTTATTTTTTGCTATTTCAGGGAACACTAACATTTTTTTTCATTGGTACACAAAATTGGTACACAAAATGCACACTTTAAATAATAATTTTAATTGCAAAAAAAAATAGGGCTTGCCTTTCAATGCTCGCATATGCCTATAAAGATCTGCTTTATGATGTAGACTAATGATCTCCAAGTCTTGTCACTTGAAAAAAATAAAACACTCCGATACTTTGCTTTATACCTATAGGCTCAAGGAAAGCGGGAGTGCTTGAAGGGGTCATGACACCCAATTTTCGATCTTGTTCTGTCGGTTAATCGTTGTGCATTTCACAAATTAGCTGGCAGAATGGTAGCGAATTTGCATGAACACTTAATTTGTAATTGAGTGTTTCATAAATACACAAGTGGCTGGACAGTGGGGCAGCACTCGTGAGGAATTATGTAACAAGCAGCTAACTTTTCAAGCATCTGCATTCCTGCAAACAGTTTTTTGTCAACTGTATGTGAAACCCTGCTATTTTAGCTTTGTTCCATTCGGCACTGAGATTAGATTATTTGCTGCAGCTGAAACTTTGGTTTAACAGAACGGCTACGCTCCTTAATGTGCATTGTCACATTCGTCATGGCAAAAGGCTAGTCGCTGGGTGTGGGCAAGGTTTTCTTTTATTGTAATATTTTAAGGTTTGCTTTTTATAACCAGTCTGGGCATAATATACCTTCTACTTTTAGTGCTCACTGAAAATGAAGTTTATGAGTGATTGTGACATGGCCCCTTTAATTTAGTCATGAAATTTGTGATTAATTAGTCATTAAGTTTGTGACTTATTTTTATATTTATTTTGTGTATTGTAAGTATTATCAGGGTTGCACAGAATGAATTTGGGGAATATATGTCATTTTGATTATGTCTGTTTTTTATAATAAAGGTTACTTCAGTAATAAATACCAAGGTATGGTTTGTTCACATGGTCATTCGTGAATTATATGCTTGTGTTGTGATGAGCTGTATCTACAATATGACACAAAGCATTTATGACACAATGTGCCTGCATTTCATTGCTAAAGTGGCTGCACTCACGCAAAATGTTTGCAACACGTAAGTTACTAACATAAATGAAAAGTGCAGTTGCTTTGCCTGCATACCTTAAGGGGTACTGACACCATATTTCAAAGGCGAGTTTAGTCTGACTTACTAATCTCCTGTATACACAGATGACTCTAAAAAAGTATAATTCTGACAAGGTATTTCATTTCAACATTAAAATCAAATTTCTCGCAGGGCACCTTACAACATTGACACTAAGTTGACGTCGGGACTTGAGTACTAATTTTGGTGACTTCACGCTACATTCTGGCTAGTTGTGATGATATCTGATACTGAAACTTCCGAGATGGCTGCTTGTGTCGTGGAAATGTGACCATATCTTGCACTAGCACGTGACGAAAAGCTCATACTTTGTTGCAACGACAGGGGACAGTAGGAATTGAAACTAGCTTTCAGAACACTATAATTAGTTTTTCAGGGCAGACTTGCACATAACGGTATGTTTTCTAAGCTTCTGAGTGCTTGGCCTTTCATTGGTTGCCTTTCATTGGTCAAGTGAAAATTTTTTGCCAATATCCTTTGAAAAGGACAATTAAAAATTCTCTCATGCACAGCTTTTCAAAGGACGAAAATGTAAAGGCTTAGCCATTTCCATATGTACGAGTCAGATTTATTTGCACTTCATAAATATTGTGTTGATGAAGTGCATTTGTTTATGAGACGAGAGTAAATATAATTGTTCGAACCCATTGATCCCAGACATTGTCCAAGTTGGGTTTTAAAAGACAAATATTGAAACCTAAATGTCTGTAGATTATTAGACATGTATTAGCCTTAACATAACTTTTTTTGGTTTTAAAGTAAGCTGGAGTTAAAACCGGTGTTAAATTTCTCATCAAAGCCATTAAAGGTTATAAACAATTTAGCTATGTCTTGCCTTAAGTTGGTTGGCCCTCACGAAGTCGTGTGAGCACAGGTTATGGTCTTTTAGATATAGGTTATCCACTTGATACAGTGACTGCTGTCACTGAGCATTTAAAGAAGTTGGTAATGTCAAGCTTGAGCATGGTTGCAGAAGGCAACAGGGAGAAACTCATTGTAAGGATACAGTACATTCATTGCGTATCTCAAGGGCCTAAGAAAGTAGGAAGTAGACAGCGTTAACATTGTTTTTATGGCTTCCAATAAGCTGGGTTACATTTGTGTCCCAGTGCAGAGGAATGAGAAAGTTAAACACAAGAAGCTGATAGATATTTGTTTCATAAATCACACCAACAAATTCACTAATTACCGTACGAGTGTAGTTGACAGGGATGCTTTTTTTTTATTCCCCCGAGTGTACAATATGGTGGATCGGTTGAGCAACAGTCGATGCACTGTTTCATGACACACAGCGGCGCTGCTATGTCTTGTAGAAAGATGCCTATGTACTGCGGTAGCCACGGCTTTCTATGCAGTCAAAGTATTCAATGGCAGTTAAAGTATTCAATGAGTATGTTATGGTCCCAGTGATCGTATTAAACCTTGTCACTGCCCCCCCCCCCCCCCCCCCCCCTGTAACATTGAGCATCCACTTGGTAGCTTGTGTGCTCTGTCCGATTGAAGTTCATAGCACTCACCAAACATACGGTTTTGCAAAGGCACAAGACCATTGCATAGTCACTGAAAATGTTACATTGTCCCTGTTTGTGTCAAGATGACACCGCTTTAATTCACAACATGTGGACTCTGTAAAATAAAAAATTTTTCACAGAAGAATACTTTACAAGAACACATTCAAATTTGAGGAGGATAGAAGGTATGACAAGATGAGCCAGGGAACACAGAAAACAAGAAAAGTGAAAAGCTGATTTGCGTGAGGAGTCAAATTATAGGTAGGCAAAGTCACTCAGGAGAGAACTCCCTCACACTCTCATCAAGCCGCGAGTCTGAGCCAAAGTAAGTGAATTATTTTGGCAAGTCTGAGTGAGTGAAATTGAGAAAAATATCAGTGAGTTTGACTTCCAGAGAGAAAAATTTTGGTGAATCTGAGTCTGAGCGTGTTTATGCGTGAGGTATACTTCATGAGTGAACGAGCTGCAGATTTTTTGCCAAGCTATAGTGAGGACTATATGGTACATCGCTATTAAATTGTTCAGTACCTCTCTTGTTCAAACAAACCAAAAAATAAACTGTTTTTGCCTCTTGAAATCTCAATGCTGGAATCAGTTTTTTTTGTACATTTGCCTCGTCATCAAAAACCTAGAAACAACAGCCAATTTTTACCGCAATAAAGGAAACAAACATCAATATGAGGCTATTGAACTATAGCAGTGTGTGTTTGCAGAATAGTGCTTATCTTTAGGCAGCTCTTGATTCAAAATAACATAAAAATTATTTCTTTGCTAAACAAATTGCAAAAATGACAGCACTGAAAATAGAATTGTAGTTTAAATCACAAGAACAGATGCCAAACGCTTGACACGTATTAAGAGAAAAAGTGTAAAAAATTTCAAAATATATTGGCATTTTTGTTTGTCTTCTTCTTTAGTCATACTGCTTACCACTCACCATCACTTAATTGAGGGTCATTGCAGGCAAGGTGAGAAATAGAGTCGTACAAGACTAAACGCGTGAAGAACGTTACTTGAACAACACTTGTAACATATACCACACTTGTATAGGTAGCACAGTTACATACATTTTCAACTCTTATAATTTGCAACATAACATGATGTATGTAACATTTGCACTGGAACACAGTTAAACACAAGAACACTTACAAAGAATTAAGAAAAATGAGTTTTTCAAAAAGCGACTTTTCTATTTTTACTTCCTTTTCGTCTACAATTTATTTATTTAGTCATACTGTTACTCCTTTCGTGAGGGTTGTTACAAGAAAAGCACAATGGATAACTTCAGACACATATAACACTGTCCAACTAACAAGCAAAATTATAGTTGAAACAGTACACCAGAAAATCAATACACCGAAAATCAGTTAATACCAGAAAATCATGTACATTTATGTTTGCACAGCTTCCTCAGGCAAACTATTTCATAACTTAACGGCACCAGGGAAAAAAGAAAAACGAAACAAATCTGTACGGGTTTGTATTGGTTACACAGTGAGGTGATGAGCTGTTCGCAGAGACCATTTGTCAAGCTGCTGTTTAATATATATGTATTTTTATTAACTTTTACTTTTACATAAAATATCTGAAAGAATAGTTGCAATTGACACTTTTGCTTTCTTACTTCTAAGAGTTCTAACTCACACTCCTTCAACATGTTTGTTACCGAGTCTGTTTGCCTGTATTTTGAAGAAAGACTAACAATCGATTACAATTTTTAAATATTGGAACTGCTGTGGCACTGCACCAGTTTAAAGACTTTTGAAACAGTAGAGCGAGGTAATAAGACAACCACTCTGCATACTGCCACAAAAAAGCAGTTGGTATACCGTCAAGTCTGCCAGTTTTCTTTGTGTCTAACAGTAATAGCACGGTGAATATTCCTTCACGAGTTATGCAGATTTCATCCGCTGTGCGTGTCAGTGGAGAACGTAACTGATACTCTTGGGTATCTTCTTCGGTTTTTATGAACACTGTAAAATAGCTGTGCTGTACGTCGAGGAAGCTTCCGACGCAGCTCGGCGAAAGGTGCTTTAAGAGGCAGGTATGGCTACCGGCGAGCGGCGTGCTACTACTACTGCCACCAATCATCATCGTCTTCTTCAGTAGCAGCAGAGCGTTCGTTATTCAGATTCATTACAACTGCAACGTAGAATATGCTGAAGCAGCATAACTGTTGTGTAAAGAAATGTTCATCAACACATTCTAACGAGCATTACAATTTTCAGAGCTAAATATGCTTCAGTAAGAACACAATGGCTTATCACAATGATAGTAAATAATTAATATAGCTCTTATGGTTATGAAGAAAAAGGTACCCTAACTTTGCCTTAAATACATGGCAGCAATAGGGCTTACCCTATTCTCTTAACGTACCAAGGCACCTACATTGTTTCAATAATTTTTGCATGCAGATCCTGAATTCAAAAACTGCACTAAACATCAAAGCTTGAATGCTTGGGACCAAGCACCCCAGGCACTAGTTTTTAAGCTTTCAGGTTGATACTAACAATGCTAGCAATATACAAATCATTAGACTATTTAAATTCAATTTCAGGATTATAAAACAAAGCTACAAATTACAGTAAAAAAGTTGGAAACAAAAAATTTCATGGTGAGGGGTCCTTTAAGGAGGTAAGGTAGGGTAAATGACATATGTCAGTTTCAGCATAATATTTTAGAAACAGCTGCAAGTATTCTCATAAAATTTTACGTGCTCAGGAAAAATGGCACTGGGTATCTTCTGACGCCCTTTTTTATGCCTAGGTTGCTTATCCTTTATATAGCCCACTTCAAAATTTTAAAGGGTGTTCGTTTATTTAATGTACCTTTTCTCTGCAACAGCAATAGGAATGTAACCATATTTTCTAACTTGTTATAGCTCAGGCATACAAAGTTTTATAAAAATCAATTCAGTACATTTTGAGAAAAGGTAGGTTGAAGTTGAAAAATTTACAGAAAACGTACTTTGAGAAAAACGAAGTTTTACATTCACATACTGCTTACACCAGAGGGCGCGTGGCACACTTCGGTGCGGAATTTAAAACGCGTGGAGTGGCTGCTCAACGTCGAGCTTCAACAGCTTCATTCCTCAGAGTACAATGATTTTTTTGGTGTCAAAACTGCAAATTCAATATTTTGCTGGGTTCACCCTATCATACCCCCTTAAGAGCAGCTGTCACACTGAAGAATGGGCAAGCAGTGCCATGCTAGGCAGGAAAGTGATGACACAGTTGTGCGTCCTTGCCCGAACTGGTAGTGAAGAGCGTGTAGGAGGGCTGCTTCATTGTCAGCCCTGGTAGACGCCACTGCCAAGGAACCTGGCCAGCCGTGCTGGAAAAGTAGCTGGCGAACAACCTTCTTGCAGCATCTGCATCACCATCGTAGTTTCGTGCCCGTGTTGGAGCCATAGCAAGGAAACTGTTATCTGGCACATGTTGCACACCATGCCGCCAGCGCCCTCCAACAACGTTTCCGAAACTGTCTCCCCTGTCCAAGAATTGATGGTGGGTTGTACAGAGTAAGGAAGTTGTGGAGGACACAGGTGGCCTTCACCACGAAGTCCACATGGCTGGGGTGCAGGTTCATGGTGCGAAGCAGTATCCTCCACCTGGCAGCAGTGATGCCGAAGGCATTTTCTGCACAGCGTCTGCAGACGAAAAAGAAAAATGTTGCAACAGCGAATGAAGACGTGATACACTATGGTGCCTTCAAGGCAATGGGAAGTGCTTGCATGATAAAAGTACCGTAGTGGTGTGGTAATGCCGAGTAGTTGTGACAGATGAGCCATTTGTCACAATGTGATGAAAGACTATTTCCCATTTAGTGCAATACTTTCTCCATCTTTTACAGCCCACTGTGAGAAAACAGTGTGAAAATGGGATGAAGGAATGAACAATACAAGTTCCGAGTTCCTTCGCCGTCGCCATGTTTGTTCACTGTTTCTTCGCAGTACGATGTACCACCTGTCCCTTCATTACACCATTCTGTTATAGGCTGCTGCGCTTAAGTATTGTACTGTAATAGTATAGTGCTCTACATTTCTATATAGAGACAGCAAGTGTTCAACCAAATTTATTTTCATTAACCCGTTGTTGGCACTATCACGCATGACTGAGAAAGATGGAACACTAGACAAGGGCTTATTACTGTCAACAGCAGTAGCACTATGAACTTTGGCTTGTGTACTCAGTGTTAGCAAAAGGCACTCTTTGCCCATTTCTGCATCACCTATTTTTTCGAATGTTCACCGGAGTAGAACTACTGAACTTTGCTTGTATCACCACTACAACCTTGAAGTTTTTAACCGATGCTGGGCTGATTATTTTGAACCTTGTGGTATAGCAGTACGACAGATGCTCTACAATGGCTGGAATAGAAGCTGGGGTGAATAGAACAATACAGAAGGAGTTTCTAAATGCATCTCTCTTAAACTGTCCAAGCCACAAATTTGATCATGTGAGCAATGATTACAATTTTTCTGTGAAATGTGAAACATTGTGGTGGTCATCTTGTAAACAATAACACTTTTTCATGATGTGCGCTCAGAGGGAAGTTGCTGCCCACCAGCATGGTAATATGAGGTGACCTGCAAAATGCAAGTTGATTAGGATCTTCGCTCAGCAATGTGTGGCCGTAGTCAAAGCATTCGAGGAGCTCTCATCAATAGAATCAACCTCAAATGCTGCAACTACACAAGCATTTATGATGAGTGTGCACAGCAGAAGTCATGTAATGAAATGCAGCAGTGACTTTATCACAAGTCTCATCGTACAATTTTCTCACTGGAACAAATGGTGTGTGCACCTGCTATACAAAGACTAACTGCAGGCAGATGTATCCAACATATTGTGCTACTTGCTGTTGACCATTTAGCACAAGTCAACCCTGCACAGGGAGCTTTTGTCATGAAGTGATCGTAACGCTTTATTTTTGACGGACACAATTTTTTCAGCATTAAGATAATGCAGAGTATTTCCTAAAACCCGGCTACTACTGCCCTGTTTGAAATTTTCATTTCATGTGTGCAGTTTGATCAGAAAATAGTGCCTATTTTGTGGTAACTCGGTGCACCAGCACTCCTTCCCACAGCACAAAAGTTCTGCAAATGCCCTTGTTTGACTAAGACCCACAGGTTAAGCTATCGTGTTCAATCGCACGTGATGGGCTTTTTTTGCGAATGAAGGCTATGAAGACATGAGGTCAGCAAATCAGAGAAACAATCCAATACCTTGCTTGGCTGAGCCTGTAGTTGAAAATCCTCTTAGTGTCATTGAGCCGTTTTGCGGGGTAAGGCCTCATGAAGTCCTTACGAAGCTGGAATGCCTCGTCTCTCACAAAGGCATAAGGCACACTTGTGGAAGTGCCTGGTAGGCTGCCAACTGCTGGAATGTCAAGGCAGCCTTTAGAGAGGTCACGACCAAAGGATGATTCCTTGAAAATTCCCCCATCGCTTTGGCGGCCTTCTGCACCGACGTGCACAAGCACATATTTGCAATCACTGTCCACCACAGCCATCAGAACTATGGAAAATGTGCCCTGAAACAACAAACACAACAAAAAAATCCAGATCATGACCTATCTGTACAGCCGCAGTGAATGCAACAGTACTAGAATTACTATCTATGTTAAGGTTTCACGTATCTTCAAAAATGTGGCGTATATAACAACTATTTGCTTAAACGGAGGCAGTCAATCTGGTGATTTGCTGCACTAAAATTGTACAGTACACCAAGTTACTAAAGACGCATGAAGTTAGGTAAGACGCAACACCACTTGTGTATTCTTCACACCATGTGTCCTCTCTAGCTTTGTGAACCCTGTAATTTTACTGCAATTTAGAATCATCCAAAAACTAACACGACCAATACTTCATTTTGCCAATCAGATGATTGCAGTTTTCTGATTTGCTCTTCTATGTTCATGTTGCACTTATCAGCTACAGTATTTGTGTAAGCATAAATGAAAAATTTAGCTGAGAATGCACAGAGAGAATCCAGGTGAGCTTTTACCTAATAGTTGAAGAATTTGCTGCCAGATTTTGGTGGGCATGCAATAGCTACATGCTTTCCGTCAACGGCACCCAATCAGTTCGGGAACTGCCACCGTGAATTAAATCTTTCAGCAATACATTCCCAGTCTGCTTTGGTAGGTGTCTGGAAGTACAAACAAAAAATGTCGTACTTCAACAAGAAAGAACCTGTCATGCGACAAAACAAATATACAGAGAGCACACTATTAAAAGCAGTGATTTTCAAAACGGGGTTCAGCAGAACCCTTTCGAATAAAAGCCACGTACTTTACACTGCTGTCATGCGACTCGCGCCGCTTTTCTTTCTCTCATTGCAAGGGTCCCTCATTAAACAGAGGCAGTCAATCTGGTGATTTACTGCACTAAAGTTGTACAGTACACCGAATTACGAAAGACGCATGAAGTAGGAAGGACGCATGAAGTTAGGAGAGATGCAACACCACTCATGTGTGCTTCACACCATGTGTCCTCTCTAGCTTTGTGAACCCTGTAATTTTACTGCAGTTTAGAATCGTCCAAAAACCAACTAGACTAATACCTCACTTTGCCCATCTGGTGATTTCAGTTTTCTGATCTCCTCTTCTATGTTCATGTTGCACTTATCAGCTACAGTATTTGTGTAAGCATAGATGAAAAATTTAGCTGAGGATGCACAAAGAAAATCCAGGTGAGTCCACTAAGCTCCCCATAAATTCATGGCAGAGAAAAAATAACTTAAACATTTTGCTTGGCTAGTTAGAATATGGAACTCTGACGAACTTGCAGTGCTTATGAAAAAAAAAAGAGAAAAACACAGACACAGAAAGAAAAATATTGAATCATGCTGTAAAATAAGTTCAATTTACAGATGTCTTGTAACATTGTTTAAAACACATGACTAGTACAACTACACATTTCATCATCATTACATCCTGGCAGATCACAGAGCAAGCAGAGCTTGCTGGTATCCTGGTAGGAATTTAGAGAAAAAGTGGGCATGGGCTCATTACATTGTGAGAAGGTATGTTAGATTGCAAAAAAGGGATACAAAGAGTTGGGAAGTGCAGCCAAGTATTACAAAAGGTTAGGTGCAGTGAGTGGTATGAGTGTACATGCACGTTTTTGAAACACATGCAAGATATTAGAAGTAACAAATACACAAAAAAGTGGCCTACTCTTTGGGCAGAAGAGTCGTAAGTAAACAGTGTTTCAATAAACCAGCAGGGTGGCAGTGAGCATTTATTCTGGATACACATGTTTGCAATGCATATTGTGGTCTATCATGCGCACCCTGCTTGTATTGGGAAGCAATTCATTGCTGCCTATCCACCGTGATGGCCTAATCTAGGCATATACTTCAACGCAACAAAATTCTCCTTATATCACTTGTTTGTTAGTCAAGCTTTTGTGAACACGTATTGCAGCAATCAAGAAATACGCGCCATCTCGTCTCTGATTACGAGTTCTCACTTCACTTTAAGGCTGAACCTATCTATGCTGCTCCAGGCTTGCCTACCAGGTAACCAACGTCAAAGTGGAATTGTGAACTGCTTACCTTCATGACATGATCTTTTAGCATTTCCCAGATTGCTTCGCACGTTTCGTGAATGCGTTTCGTAATATCCACTCGATATGCCAGAGCAACCGAGCGGATATCTTGCCCTGATGCAAGGTAACTGAAACAATAAACATGAAACAATGAACAAATAAAGTGATTCAAAGCTATCTTTTTTGGCACTTACATTCAGTTAATGCTATGTGACATATTTTACCTCAATATCACTAACCTCAAGGTTATTGCAAGCCGTTCCCCAGGCTTGAGAGTTTCCCTCGACACGTGGATTTTCGTTAGGTCCAGAGCTACAAAGCTGAGCAGCACATCAAAAAGTGCTGGCCTCATTCAATAGAACTTAAAAAAAATCCATAATCGCCTTCGCGCATCCGTTTCATCTGTTGAAAACAAAAGCAGATTACAGTGATTGAGCAGATTTTTACAGAGGAAAAAAAAAACATGAACGGGAACCAGCAATGTACCTCTCTTAACGCCAAATCCCTGATCGAACATTCAAGCACATATGAGATTTCAGATATAATACAGCATTCCTTCGGTCGAATTTTCTCTGCAGCTTTCATTTTATAGCTGAATATGCCCTACGACTAAATGCATAGAAGTTTGCTTGGGCATACATGCAACATTTCCCAATTGGCTGTGCACTCACTTGCTACTAAAACCCAACGCTTCAAGAAGCCATGGAATTTGAATACAACATACGTATTATAAGTGCTCCATTGTCAAAGACGTGGTCGTCATTCGCTTTCTTTATTTCTTTTCCTTGCACGTTTATTTGTATATCGTATTATTGACTTTATTTGTGTTGATTTCATTTTATGTCACAGGTGTCATTGCTGTTTATTTCAGTCAGGAGTGATCGAACAGCACGACGTCACGTTAAAATGAGACTGGACGAGGTCAAGAAAGAGCTGAAGAACTTACCGCAGTGTGGTAGAGGCCTTCTTGCTTTCGCGTCAAGAAAACAGGGCGAATCCACCAACGGCGAGGCTGCCGCTGCTCGCGTAGTTGATTCCTCTTTTTTATGAGGAGCACGTGTGTCGAGGTCAAAACTGTTCTATTCCTGCGGGAAACCGCCGACACCGCAGGCATGGTTGCGAGAAACCCACGAGGAAAGCTTTGTGAAACAGTCAGACACACGTCCACCCGTCAACAGGAGCACACATGGAGAAAGAACAGAAGTTGGCGCGAAGTGCTGATGTTGATGTCGATGACACGCGAATACAATCGAAACTATTGACTTGATTTCTAATGAACAGTTTAAATAATTAGAAAAAGTGTCAATTTAAAAATAAAATATACTATTTTGATTTAGAAAAGCTCTTCCATGGCTTGAAGAAGAGTTACAAATGTTTGGAGAGTCAATCTTTTCAGGAAATGCTTTGGCAGTTTCACATCAAATGCTCTAGCAACACTGCGCGTCAACTAGGCGCGACGCTAGCAGGCGCGAGTGCCGACGCGTACCAGTAGTTGCGCGCCCTTTTCCTCCATGGGCGCGACTAGACGCTTTTGACGCGTAGGCGCGGGCGTACGCGTACCAGTGGTTGGCACTTTAGACCACACAGCAATACTTTGAGTCGGCAAGTAGGGATAATTGAAACGGGATTACCCGTGTACACAATTATGTGGGGCATAAAATGGTGCTACTGTAAATGATATTTTTTATCATTTTGCTTTATTAACAGAATTAGGCGTTGTTCCAAAAATCATTTTAACGTAAGTCGATTACATGACACTCAAAACGAAACAACAATGTCCCGCATGCAGAAAGATGCCTGATGCTCTTCTGGTGTTACCTTTTTGTTTTATTTTTCTGTCCGGACTGATAGGGCACTCATTGCAAAATATTAACGGCGCGGCTATGCCAGGGTATACGTAACGTGAGCCACGGACGGACGGATGGACAGCGAGCGAACTCACGAGAGTCAAGTGCCAACTCACTATACGTAACATCACTCCAGGAGCCACTGCTCCTCGGACGTGGGCAGCACGGCTTTCGACAAGCCATTCGAAACTGCTCAACCTCGTCCACTGTAGCTTACACTACAAAAAAGAAGAGATAAATATCACAACGGATAGCTTAGATAAAGAGTATACGTGCGACATCAATTGATATAAGGTGTGTTCCAGATATTGATTGATATGTGGGGTTGAATGTCCCCAAACTACCATATGATTATGAGAGACACCATAGTAGAGGGCTCTGGAAATTTAGACAACCAGAGGTTCTTTAACGTGCACCTAAATCTGAGCACACGGGCCTACAACATTTTCGCCTCAATTGGAAATTCAGCCGTCGCAGCCGGGATATGAACCCGTGACCTGCGGGTCAGCAGCCGAGTACCTTAGCCACTAGACCACCGCGGCGGGGCCTTTGTGTTTCGATAATACATACAGAAAATAAATGGACAGATTAACGTGTGAATGTTAAAGCGAAACAAGGAAATGTTTTTTACCACAAAGATCGTATAGTTGAGGATAAAATTGCAAGTTTGCGGCAACCTTAGGAAGCCACCTTCCCGACACGATCGCTGCAAGGCGTAACAAACAACTGACGCATCACATTTTCCATCCTTCGTTGTAAGCAATATACAGGTCAGTCATAGCAGCCTATATTTTTCTGAAGGACTTGGGGTGGGGGAGGGGTAAGTAGAGATGATTACCAAAGCAATGTTCAGCGAAGGACAAGAGAAGGAATGCCTGTGCCACGACATCCACAGCACGTCATCGTAAAAACATCGGTAAACGTCTAAGCCGATAGAAAAAGTCGATTGAAATTGCTGGTCAGTAAGACACGTACCTTCATCATCGGTACGTGTCTTCATCATCATCATCATCATCATCATCAGGCTGATGATGATGATGATGATGATGATGAAGACACGTACCACTCCTCAGTTCTTCGTTCGGTGCAGAGTTACACTGTGGTTTATAGAA